GCTTGTTTTTTTTTAAAGCTGCCATGACTCCTGAAAGCTGAATGCTGTATATGGGCAGGCCAGGCTGATCAGGCTATCACACTTATAATTTTCACATAAGGATTTTTACAGTCCAACCTACACTGGAGCAGTGTTCAAAGCTCTTCCTGCAAATTTAAAGCTATGTTCCAACACAGGACATGAGCAGTATTGCATAGCATCCAGGCACTTCCTTAAAGCCAGGATATCCCCATCCTCCTGTCATGACTGTATTCCAGAAGATGAATTTTAGGCCACTCAATTACATGATTACAATTCCCACTGACTTCAGCAGGAGTTGTGTGTGCGCAGAAGTGATTTAATCTGTAACACACTGGAAACCATGTCTTTGCCACCTTGTACAATCAAGGTAGTTGATCAGGCAAACATCCTATTCTTAGTGTACAAATATGTAAGTGAGCTCCAAGTTACTTCAAGTTTAACTCCTTAGTGCCAAAAAGTGAGGGAGTCAGCTCTATGGACAACCCTTGGTAACATCTGAAACAGAACTGATAATTATGAGATTTAACAATATTATACTAATGCATTAAGGCAGGTTACATAACTGCCCTTTTCCTTTAGGATTAATTATTATTTCCTTGTACACTGTAGACAATTCATAATCCCATACACACATATACCTACGAAACAGCAGCACAGTAAAAACTAAATAGACCACTGAACTCCAACATACTTGTAATCAATACATTGCACATACTATACAGCATATTTTAAACCTCATCATTGGGTAAACATATACAATTCAGAACAACATTGACTGTATGTAACACAGAAGCTACCACTGAGATATGGCAAATACATTATACACTATTAGCTTTTACTTCACTGAAAAAGAGTTTAGAACTTTAAAATGGTGTTACCTGACCTCTTGAAATCACCAAATAGCCTAATCAGTTGCTAATAAGTAGTGCTTCATATACTAAATTCAGGATAGACAGCACTGGAACTGTGTTTTCAGGGCACTCTGCCTTTTTTATTTTGTGGAATGAACCTCCACAATTTTAAATTTCCTTTGCAACACAGCATATACTTACTACACACTGACTATCTGCTCCCTCTCATCTCAGGGTAAAGGCTTAATAGCTACTTTGAAGTTAGCAGAAATGGTCTAGATTTGTATCAGTAATGACTTAGCCTAGCATACAGGATCATTCCCTCTCATGCATGTATGCATATACATTTATATATACATACATGTGTACGTTTAAAAGAATGGTTTGTAGATTTGAAACCTACAAAACCAGTAAAGTATCCAACAGCCAAAAAAAATGCAAATAACCCACTAATTTTAAAACCAAGCTCCTGTGGTCTCATTCTGATTTACCCCTCACCAAACCAGGCAGGAACTGGACTCCAGGAATCACCTCCTGTTTGGTCCAGATTGCTGCAGGTTAGATCAGTACTGAACAAAGATGTCTCAGCATGTGTAAACTGAAAAATGGAGCCAGGTGGGTCTACACCAGCTGAGACACTCTGTGTGTGTAGCACAGTCGCCATTTTTCATGTGTGGCTGAAAAGAAAGGATCAAGTAATCACATAAAAATGTCAGAAAACAACAGTACTTGATGTATATATCATGACCATAGCAGGGGGAAAATGAGCATAGGAAGCAAAAAAATGTTCTGGCAGTCAACGACGTGACAGTTTGAGTAAATAGATGCTTATGCAGATGAATAGTATAGACAGGTCTTTCTCCTTGATGGGCTGATTACAGTCATCTCATTGCCCATGCAAGATTCCTCATAATACATATGAAGAAACCTTCCACATTAATAAGGTCAGAATAACACATCTGACCCAGCCCAGCAAGCACGTTTCTGGTTGAAATCAAAGAGAGCTTTAGCTGCATATGGGTGGCAAAACTGGGCTCTTGAGTGGTCCAGTTGTGCTGCATAGTACTTTCTGGCTTGTTCTTTTTTGGCAAGATCCCCAAACAATATCAACAGGGAGTGCATCTCTATCAGGACTTAGAGTTTTGGGCCCTCACAGATGAAATCTTCAGAAGAGCATGGATAGCATATCCCCAAATGCACTTTTTTCTTTTAGTAATTAAGGCAAGATTGTTTACCTGTTCCTACCATAAAGTGCTGTGCTTCTCCAATAGAAAGATCGACAGCTAAACAAAAACATACTTTTCTGACCAGAATTTAACATTTTGCTAGTATTTTCCCCCATTAATGGAGAAACTATATGATTTGTCTATTACTGGTTTTTTTCAGAGGATTTTTTTTTGCTTTGCTTTTTCTTTTTCATTTATTTCCAAATGACAATTAGAATAAAACTGACACTAAGCAAATATTTCATAACAACGCTAACAAACTCTAGATAGCTCTATACTTATTCATATATACAGGCACACACACATACACACTTTATTAAAATACAGCAGAGCATTTGCCTTGAGTACACCTCTTTGTAAGCGAAAAGCCTAGTGTAGCTGGTGTGTGATGCCCTGATTTGAGCAGGGGGTACCAGCAGGAACCTGGTGTTGATGCTCTCAGATGCAACAGAATTTCAACTAGAATCCAAAAAAAGAAACCTAATTTTTACTCCACCCAAAGATTCAGATCACTTTACTATGTTAGAAGGATAGATTAACTCTTTTGACTATATTTAAGCAGCTGAAGGCTCACAGGAAGAGTGTCAAAGCAACTAAATCCAGCTAAACGGAAAATTGAAAAAAGCATTTCACACCACACTGCCAATAAATAAGCAAAGATTTTCACATTTCTGTATAGGACACCCACACAGGTGTGGGTTCAAAAATATATTTTCATGTTTCATTTTATGCGTCTGTTACATAAATTTTACTAGGAGAGCTTGTGGAAACCCAAAACAAAGTGTATCAACCACCCCACATCTTGCTTAGTTGTGCGTGAAAGTCCTATCCCTTGTTCCAATGAAAAGATAAACTGGGACTCTTAGGTAAATTTTTGGGGCAGTCTGGATAAAGTTCAAATGCTGTAAAAAACCTAACTGGCTTCGATCACAGATTTCACTGAGGATGACTCTTACAGTCCTAACATACACAGAAGAAAACGCTATTGAAGGAGGCATCATGACTTTATAACAGCTATATGGTTTTTTTCAAACAAATTTATAATACTCCTGTCCGGAACCACCAATATCATTATGCAAGTGTGCACGGATGTCTTTGTGTCACATACATACATTTAAAGTGTCATTATACTACACACTTAACATTTTTCCTTACAGTACACACATACGTGCACACACATTTTTCCAAGGCATCCTCTCTGCATAAAATATCAGCAAGTGTCCTTTTTATTCCACTTCCTAAACTAAAACCAACAAAAATTCTATAACACCCCTGTAGCCCAACTGTTCAATAAGACCATTTTGGATTTTCTAAACTCTGATGGGAGATGGTAGCCATTATCATCTGACAGAAAATAGCAAAGGATTGTATCATGCCATTCTCCTCACTCAACCAAAAGTTCTAGTAATATCAATGTAAACTTGACCTTAGTTCTAGCCCATAAATCCCTGCAATATCTCAAAGAGCGTTTTCCTTGTAAGATGTAATAGCATCTGTTGTTTTGCACAAATGAAATGTTTTGCTTTCCAAAGTTGTGTACCTATGTATTGATGTGTGTGGGAGATATGACTGATTGCGTTTTATCCAGTTAGGTGTCATACAGTTGCAATGCTCTCAGTTTATAAATCACTAAGTTTTTAATATATTTTTTATATGTGTTTCATTAAAAGTAGGATGATCAGTGATTCTGTTGCTAGAACAGTGCCATTCAGTAGACTTTCAATCTTGCGTTATGCAGTATTATATCTGACAACTTAAAGACTATAAAGTACTGCTATTTGGTAGAATTGAACTACTACATTCTTTACCACAGAAGTTTTTCACTGATGAAACTGGCACTGATTTTTTGTAATCAGTGAAGTGTTCTGTTCATAGCTGCCTTAAAGAGAGGCTTAGACTGTACCTATCTTTTTTTAACTGCAGTTTCAGTCCTGCAGAAATGAGGTTTCCACTATGGGACAAAATACGGCACATCTTATAGGGCACACAACTTACCGATCTTATGATCAATCCATACTAAACACAGGACATTTTCCTATTAAATTCAGTGGATACTGGATCAAGCTGTTACATAATATTAATCCTGGGAAGAAGTGGTGCTCCAAGCTGGCTTAAGTGTGTTCCTGCTAGAACCAGGGAAAATATGCACCAGCAGGTGTCCCTCTGGGGTCTATATTATGACTAGTGTTATTCATTTATCTTCATTAATGATATAGATGAAGGGATTGAGTTGCACCCTCAGCAAGTCTGCAGATGACACCAAGCTGAGTGGTGTTGTTGACACACCTAAAGGACAGGACGTCATTCAGAGTGACCTGGACAAGCTCGAGAAGGGGCCCATGGGAACCTCATGAGGTTCAACAAGACCAAGTGCAAAGTGCTGTACCTGGGTCGGGGCAACACCCGGTATCAACACAGGCTGGGGCATGAGCAGATCAAGAGCAGTCCTGCTGAGAAGGACTTGGGGATGCTGATGGATGAGAGGCTGGATATGAACTGCCATGTGCACTCACAGCCCAGAAAGCCAAATGTGTCCTGGGCTGCATCCAAAGCAGTGTGGGCAGCAGGTCGGGAGAAGTGATTCTGCCCCTCTATTCTGCTCTGCTGAGACCCCACCTGGAGCACTGTATCCAGCTCTGGAGTCCCCAGCACAGGAGGAACATCGACCTGTTGGAGCAAGTCCAGAAGAGGCCACCAAGCTGATCAGAGGGATGGAGAATCTCTCCTATAATGAAAGGCTGAGAGAGGTGGGTTTGTTTAGCCTGGAGAAGAGAAGGATTAAGCGTGACCTAATGGCGGCCTTCCAGTACCTGAAGGGAGCCTACAAGAAAGATGGAGAGGGACTTTTTACAAGAGCATGTAGGGACAGGACAAGGGGGTTTCAAACTGACAGCAGGTTTAGATTAGATATTAGGAAAAAATTCTTTACTGTGAGGGTGATGAGGCACGGGAACGTGTCGCTGAGAGAAGCTGTGGATGCCCCATTTCTGAAGTGTTTAAAGCCATGCTGGAGGGTGCTCTGAGCCCTGGTCTAGTGAAAATTGTCCTGCTCATGGCAGGGGTGTTGGAACTAGATGATCTTTAAGGTCCATTCCAACTCAGGCCATTCTATGATTCTGTGATTACAGAGTTAGGCCAGTATCACATTATCTGCTGGCTTGACCTGAGGCAGAAACATTGGAAAACCCTATTTTAAGAATGAAAAGCAAGCAGGATTTAGTCTGTGCTCTGTGCAAGCTACACAGTACATCATGTTTACTGTCCACTTATTATGGTACATAACACACCATGTTTACTGTCCACTGATTATGGTATGTAACACATCATGTTTACTGTCCACTGATTATGTGTGTGTTAAAGCATGACCTTGGATTCACATCACAAAGGCATTTAAACCTGTAGCTCATTGATAAATACGATCGGTTAAACCACCTAAGAGATGAAATGTAGCAGCTTAAAATTTTCATGCCAGATATACTGCCCTCAGTCTCCCAGTGTAACGCTCACACCGCTGGGAATCCTGCTGTGAGCAGGAAGAGGACAATATACATCCCTTTGCAACAAGTTTCTTGGCACTGTTCATAACCACAGAAGACACATGAATCACATTTGGTACCTCATGGAGAACCTGTAAATGGCCTTCTTTCATCAAACACTGTAAACATGTTTAGTTTTGCTCTTCACATGAAACACAAATGTGATAAATGATCATAAATGATGAAAACATTTTCCTTATGCTTTCCACTAAAGCCCTAAACACCTCAGAGTGTTACAAGAAGATGAGTGTTTTACAATATAAGTCTTTTAGAATACAATCTTTTTTTTTTAATGCAAAATAATGCAACAACACATATATCACAGTACTATCAGGTAGTGTCATCTTCACCTTCACCCAGGGCGTAGTTGAGCTTTATGACTGTGCTGATAAAGTCACCAAGTTCTACAAAATCTGCAGTGATAATATTCACACCACTTTCTCCTGCCTTCTGAGTTCGGACCCACTCCATCATCGCAGGAAGCGCCCTAAGGAGAAAAGAGGAACAATAATTAGTCATAAATCAACGAGACAAATGCATTGAGGCAGGATTTACCAACAGTGACTCCCATCGATCTTACTTGGTTTCTAAGTTTTCTCTGCTACCATGTGAGAAAGGACTCAGGCTTTTTGAAAACTCTTTTTTTTTTTTTTTTTTGTAATTTTCATTCTCTGTGGAAATAATATGTTGATCATATTTCAACTTCTCAATAGAAAAGAATGGAAGGAAGATCATATAGGCTCAGAGTAATTACTGATTTTGCCCAGGGACAAGGGAATGGACCAGATACCTTTTTGTTATCATCTGGCCACATGACTCCATGAGAATTGTTTACAGAAAAAGAAATAACAGAGCACTCAAGCCATTTAAAGCATGTTTGACACATTGAAGGAAATGGTGAAAATAATATTTTGAGAGACACTGGAGCAACCATGACTTCTACAGTGTAAGTACAGCATATACCACAATACCTTTTCTTCCACAGTATTGACATCTCAGCCATGAATTATATTTAATCCTACCAATTCTTTTCTAAGATGTCATATTTTTATTATGTCAGATTATTTTATTATTATCCAGATCCCCAGGAATACTGGGATGCAAAAGATGCCTGCCTAACTGGGTTTGTGAATGTACAGAAATTTTTCTGATCTGTGAAAATACAAAATAACAATCACAAAAAATATCTATGGGAAAATAAAAGGCTCCTTAGGCCTGCTGAGGAAGTCAAACAGCAAAATCCAGTTTTCATAAGAAAGAAGTTAAGAGAATTCAAAAAAAACCAAGGTACAGATTTTTTCAGAGAAAGGGCATTTTTCAGAGAAAGGGTAATTGACCACTGGAGCAAAATCCCAATGACTGTGACAAACTCTGCAGCACTTTAAGTCCTTAAATCAAGCCTTGATATTGTTCCAAAATTATACTCTTGGTCAACCTCAAGCTGCTGAGTTAAATAAAAGAACCTAAGGTCTGGGCAGGGCTGCAGTGAGTTTAGATGAACATTGTGTTCTCCCTTTGCTCCAAGGTCTATAAGTATGTGATTGCCCCTCAGTCAGCATGTTGTGCAGCCTTTTTCACAGGGGCAAGGTACATGTAAAATTTTGGCCTGACAATAATTTAAATCAAGCTGAACATGCTGAACCTAAATCTGCTTTCAAAAGCTTTAGATCTAAAGAAAAGAGAACTATTGGCAGACACAGATTGTACTTGTCAGTGGCTACTAGAATCAGTTAGTGTTTAAAACAGAAAAAAACCCCAAGCAGTTATAATTATATGCCTCTGATTTTACAGGAGAAAGCACAACACTAACATTTTGCTTCATCAAGATGTACTTGAATCCACCATAAGATTCACATCTAAGGCCAGCAAAATATTTTATTTCAGTCATTGATTCAGTATGATTGAATGCACACCACCTCATAAAACTGAACTGAAGCACTCTGCTGTTTATGAACCCAGTCAGCACCTTTAGATTTAAGTCTATGCAATCCTGGGGAGCTGCACTCTGCGGAACTGTAACAGGCACAGGTTAGGTGTTAAATACCCAGCAATGCTGGGCTGCTTGAAAAGATCTGCAAGCAACAAGAACCAGGACAGATCTCAGCAGAAAAGCATAGACCACCAAGGCCATAAAAGGCGGCTCAGAGCATCTGTAAACTCCACTTCATCTTCACATGTGAGATGTACTGCTGAACTCTGGACAAAGACACAAGGTTGAACTTAAAAGATGGCAGTGTGTTGCCTTTGTATTTAATACCATCCTATTTAAGCCCAAAGAGTTTGGGGTTTAAAAGTGAACTGATTGATTGTAGGCAGGCACAGATTTTTCCTTCCTTCCCTCTGTATAAGTTGATGACCTTGATATTTTACACCCCCTTGAGGCAGAGTTAACTTCTTTTGGTGTCTTTCATTTGTTCTGGAGCTATTTCTGATGTAATTCTGCCTTCAAACCATAGAGTTTGCTGTCCATACACCTACCCATACTGATCAAAATACCGTTTTCCTTTTCCTAATGTATTCTTATTAAGCCAGCCTTCAACAAAGTCATGCCCCCTTTTGATTAGTGCCTTATCTTAAACTCAGTCTGCCCTGACATTTCTTCTGCAGTCAGGCTTGACAGTTGAATGGGTTATTTCTCTTTTATTGATATTTTACACAGGACACAGTTGCATGATCCCTTGCTCATATGCATATTGTTAGATAAAGTAATGGAAATCTTTCGTTCATGAGATTAGAGAGCATTTAAAGATAAGTCAGAAATGAATCACATTATCAAACAAAAAGCTTATTTGCACAGCAAAGCCAAATAACACAATCTTGTACAAAAAGACAACTGAAGAAAAGTTTTCACTGACCTGAAAGATTTGATCTAGGCTACGTGACTCTATTTATGATAGAAATTAATACAAAAACCCATACAGGTCATCTTTCTCCTATAGTGCCATCTTGAAAGTGGATTACACCAATCACTGTAAGAAACCACATTGTTCAGTTTCAGTACAAATATCTCACATGCTCACAATAATTATTAGAATAAGCCTGACTTAACATTCCTCAGGGTGGTAGCAGTAAAAACCTTGTTCACCCCTTACTTTTCATTTCCAAATTGTGCCTCAAACTAGTGATTGCTCTCACCGAGGGTTTTAGTCAGGTGAACAAACCACCTACGTGACTGTGCTCATAGAAACCCAGCATGTGCCATGGTCTTCATAGATGTTCTTGTGCTGCGCTCTGTCAGACACAGGGGAAGCTTCTAGAAACTTCTCACAGAAGCCACCCCTGCAGCACCCCCCGCTACCAAAACCTTGCCATGCAAACCCAATCCATCATGCAATGTTGATAAGAAATTATTTTACACATGAGCATATATGCCCAAGCCCCTGAGTCTGCCAACCCTGACAGCATTACTGCCTCTGTGTTAGGCAGATCCCAGCTCTCCTGCAGAGGATGTCCATGCTTTAGGATCTCACTGCAGCTCCGGCAACAATGTGGCACCAGTCTGGGTTCAGATCCAAGCTTGCAAGGACTGAGGAGAACCCAGCCATGTGAGCACAGACTACACTTTTAGATGCTCAAGGTTTGTAATCTCTGCTGTTACCCCAATAACTACAGAGGCATAGTCATACATTCAAAGTCCATTGTGTTAGTGTAATGATTTTTCCTAAAAAAACAGAGTCATGCTTGTAATAGTGACAGCAATGCCACCATTGAAGTTGCATGCAGGACAGGCTCTGGCTCCCCTGAGGACAACCTCAAGCCTTTCAGTCCTCCAGTGACTCAGCTGCTCTGCTGTAAATTATACAGAGGAAGCTGGATGAGTTGATCAGGAGTCCTGTTATGGGGTGTCAGCATCTTGAGTAAACACTCTGAAGGCCACAGAAGATGAACAGTCTTACCTTAACATGCTACAAACTAAGAGCCAGGCAGCAGGAAAAACTGACAGATGCAGAATACCTGCAGCCCTTTAAACTTACTGAGTCTGCTGCCTTCCACAGCTGGTCCAGTCCAGCCCTTATGCCCACAGTCCCAGTTCTCAAAAGGAATAATTTCTAATTCCTAAGGGTTTCAAAGCCATGTGTAACCCCGAGGCACAGGCACAGAAGAGAGCTGCTTGTCTTAGCCTAGAGCCAGGGTGGAGGTAGTAGGGGTGCTCCTTAGCAAGACCTGTCCCAGGAGAAAGAGAGGAGTCTTTTCCTCTCACCCTACTACCTGGGGCACTGTTTTCATCCTGCTGCAGCTCCACTGTCCTGGGTTCCAGTTGGCCAGATCTGACCCTGCCAGGCAGTGCAGCACTGCCCCACAAACCAGCATCTGAAATCAACTCCCTTTTCCACATCCCTGGCAGAAGTGGAGGAGCTAGTGGCACTAGTAGTGCAGGAAGGAGAAAGATACAGGACTGGTGGGCTTTAGCTGTGGCACGGGAGGATGAGAATGGCATGTTACCTGGGTTTGACAATAGATTGAGATCAGGAATCTTGGTGATAAATTTTCTGTCCTGAAGGAATATGTAGACTATCTCATTTTCTTGCACTGACTGGAAACCAGGAGGTACCAGACTGCTGTCCCTCCCTCCCTCCCAGAGTGATGGGAGGAAAGTGATGTGACTGATCTGATGTGGAAGAACCTCATAGAAAGGGTCTGGTCCAGCCTCAGCCACCACCACCACACCTCAGCATCAGCAGCCAGATCCATCCCACCACTCACGCTGCCCAGCAGATTTCTGGAGTGACCTTTGCACCTGCCAAAAAGACTGCATGAGAAGGGAAAGACTGGAGGAGATCTGCATAGTAGGGACCTACTGATGCTGAACAATGCAATGTCATGCAGAGGTACTTAATGTAGCTGTATTCCTTCTGAGACCAAAGCATTTATCTCTAGGTAGCACCTCAATAGGTCAGTCAGAGGTACTCATAATTTGGACATGACCTGGGTATCATGATGGCTTACATCATGATTGCAAACATACCTACATCATTTTCAGCCTTTTTTTTAAGGAGCTGTATACTTTCCCATATAGCACTGCTATAGCAATTTTCATTTACAACCCAGTAAAATCTAGGCTCAGCTTTGACACTTATTTTATTACTTCTATTTTCCTTGTTCTGCCTGCTTGCTCGCATAAGCAGAAATATGCACAGGTTTATTTTTAAATTTTTCTCCTCTTTCAGCAACAATTTTCTGATGCATTAAAGGAACTCAGCTGAGAAATGCTGACCTAAATCTAAACAAAATAGGCATAGACCTTTTCAAAACTACTGAATATTCAAGGCCTCTCTTTTCTTTAAATCTATCAAAGCTCTCAAGTGGACTTCAATGACATTGAATTTTGTTTAAAAAATAGTAATTAAACATTCAAGTAACTTCAAGCAGCGAAACTGTAAGCTCCATTAAAAGCTTTCAGAAAAAAAAAATTACCTAATTACTTGTATTAAAATCTGCTTTAAAAAAGCTGTTCATAGGTATTTTAGTTCAGAAAGAGGGTTGATC